CTTTAAAAAGAAAAATGTAACCAAAGACACTTAGGGAATGAGATCAGATAGAGCTCTATCTTTAGTGAACCATAGTCTAGTGTCTCTGTGGCTTTTTAAACCTTTGGCTGAGTGAATGCAGCTTAGTGGTTCCCCTGCTTCTGACATGATTTGGTGCTCCCATATATTTGTAGGTTTCTTTTGTTTCTTTTTTTTCATTAGAGCTTGTTTTGCTATAGGGCTGCTTAACACTGTTCTCAAACGGCTTTTGCAAGGTTAAAGGAATGCAGCTTGGTAACAAGTTTGTGTCATTTTAAATATATACCTCCCAGTAAATAAGGAGGAGCCTTGCAATCAATCCCTTTTAGTGTGTTATGTGTTTCACCTGACAACTAAACCCTCTATTGATTAACCATTACTTTGTTAGATAATCTCGTGTCATTGAAGCCACTGTAAAAATTAAACTCTTTAAAATGTTTTACCTAGCAGCAGTGTGAAAATTGAAAACTTGTTCAGAATTACAGCCCGCTTCCACAAAGAAGGTAGTTTTCAACAAACTGGTTTACGTTTGCATGCTTTATATGCAATATAAAAACATATTAAAGCCCTCCAACACAAAGCTATCTGCCTGTGGTGTTGAACCAGGCTGCCATTTCAGAGTGCTTTTCCTTGGTGAAGAAACCTCTTATCTTGTTGAAAGGTGATGAGAAACTTCAACAGTTTTGGTGCAAATTAGATGAGATTCATAAAAGGGTTGAGCTTTAAAGGTGAGCTTGAGAAATTTGCTTTTCTGAGGTTTGGCTCTGGTTTTGCTTTTCATGGTTTTTCTTTAGTCGATGTGCCCATAGGCATTGGAATGAATGAAAGGAGGTGCTCTGATGTGTCAGTGTAGCATGAGACACCATCAAATGTTTTATCTAATATGAAAGGCTCTGCATTATTGCTTGATGATAAGACATTCATTCTGCTTTCAGTTAGGTCTGTTCACTAGTAACTGTTAGTATGAACACAGTATCAGATTAAATCAAAACTCCATGTCCAGCAGTAATCTTGTGTCTCACAGTAGACAGTAACTGCTGCCTACAGAGGAACATTAGAAGGCAACCATTTAGTATAACCGTCACAATATATTCTTGCAGCTTCTTATGACTTGACTTCATGAGCCAGATGCAGCTTCTTTGCAACATTATCAATACATTTCCATTGAGACCTCTTAAGTAGAGTGACATTACCTCTTTTTTTTAAGGAGAAATAGGCTTTCTTCTGCATTTTTGCTTTAAACCTTTTTAAACATATGGTAGAACATGTACGTGAATCTTCCTTACTTTTTTTATTCATCCCACAAGGCTAATAATGCATTCTTTTGTGAGAATGTGAAGAAGAACAGAAGAACTTTGTAACTTTGCAAACACAGTAATGGACGTTAAACTGAAGATCACTGTATGTTTTATTCTCAAATCTTCATCCTGATGGGTTGAAGCCATTATACATGCAACTTTTAATTTTCTTTTTTTTCCTCACTACTTTATACTGAGCTGGAGGACTAAATGGTTGTCTGGTAATTCGGCACTTACATAGATCTTTAGGTAAGAAAATTACGTGTAAAAGTTGATTCTCGCAGTAAAAGCATGTTCTTCTGTCCTTTCTGTGGCTGAAAAGGTTGTGAAGGAGGAATTTAAGTATCATTGGCATGTTGTCAAAGGGCAGAGAGGTATTGATAGCATGAGAATGCCCAGGTCTACCAGACCCAGAGTCTCCTCATCCATTGCTGGCTCCAGCACTGTCAGTGGAAGATGCTGCTGAATGGCAGCAAACGGGTCTGGCTGTTCCCTGTGCTCTATTCACTGCTCCTGCAGTATCTACCATGGTTACATCAGGGATGTCTGGGGAATATCTCTGTCATGTACTCTATGGACCTGCTGTCCATAAATTAGTTTGATCTCTTTTTCCACTTGCTGATGTTGTTTCTCTCCATAGTGTCCTGGGACAGCAGGCTCCAGAATCACTGCCAGCTGTGTGAAGTGTTTAATTTATCTGCTTTAAATTATTACCTTACTAGTTCCATCAAGTGTCACTAGTCCTGGTATTGTGGGATTTGATGACAAGTTATACCAGAAGTTCAGTTGGTGCTGTTCACACTGACATGTAATATGTGGATGAAAGTAATACAAATTGAGCAATACACTGAAATAATTATTTGTATCTACATGCTGGCGCACACACAACTTTTGAAGAGTACTGAGTGAGCTTTCTTCCTTTGAATAGTGCATGGTGAGCTTTCTTCCTTCTCAGAAAGTTCTAGGCGTTTTAGATTTAGCATTTAGTTTTTCACATGGTGTATTTCGGTTGTCTGCTCTTTCCCATTTGTAAATGTGAGAGAAAGCCTGATGTAAGCCAGGCTTTTAAAAGCTGGCTTGCTACCAAGGCTTGTGCATACCTCTCTTGGGAGGAAACAGACTGACAAGATCTGACTTCAGTTCATGGTTCAGTTCATGGAGCCACAGGCTTCCTTGTTGCTTTCAGTAAATGTTTTAGTGGTTAGCTTTTCATCTGCAAAGTGGAGTTGGTAGTAGCTTTCTTCGAGTCAGAACTCCTCATAAAATTAGCAGTATGTAGCAGATAAGTTGTGCAGAAATACTGCTACTGGAATTTTAGGAATTGTAAATGAAAGAAATCACAGGTTTACAATAAATGGATTAAGTTACACAAATGTAAATACTGAACAAAGAGTCTTATCAATTCTTCATGGTTTCTCACCTTCAGAATCTGGCTGAATTTAGCTGAGATGATGCTTACAAAATGAAGTTTGCATGGTATTGTCTGAACGTCAGTGCAAAGCAGGTAGTGTCAACTTTCTGTCCACCAGTTGGGCCACTACATGTAAGCCACAATGCGTGATAGTTTATGCCATTCTGATCTTTCTTCTGAGGAGAAAGTTCTGTGCATACCAGAGTGATAGTTTTATGATGTTGGCAAATATTTGCAAGAGGCTTAGTCGAGTCTGTCAGACTTGTTTGCGTGTGGCCTAATCCCAGTTTGAATCTGAGCCTCCCCTGCTGAAAGATGCACTCTGTTCATCTGCACAGCACTTTGAAGGGATTCGTGTTTGAATTTTTCAGTTTCTCCTTGTGGATCCAGAGTCAGAAGTTACTAGCTGGCTGCTAGTCACAGCAGATATCAGTGTTATGACTTGTAAGGAAATCTGCTGGAGCCAGGATATTCTACATTCCTGTCTGTCACTGGTTGTTTTCTGGTTAGAGATCTCACTGAGAAATAAAACATGAACTGCTAAAGCAATGGAGAACATAGGGCTTCTGTACTCCTTTTTGTTTCTGTCTCCCAGTGAGCTTTAAAGGGGGTCTGTAAAGAAGTAAGGTGGAAAGGACTGTGAATTTCCTAAAGAGCGTCTGTACTGTGCTTGGCCAGTACAGATCCACCTGAGCCAGTATACTTGATTTCCCGTGGTAGGCAGTAAGGAGTGTTTAATGAGGATCATAGGAATGTGGGTGAATAATGTTATAAACTGACTGGGAGCACTTGGTTCCCATCACCTGGTGCTTACTGTCCTCCTGAGGAGGAATGCTGGGCTTGTGGATGTATCTCCTATCACTCTCAGCATAACCCTCTTTTAATCTCTTTGCATTCTTGCCTCTGATGTCCTTTGCAATATGTTCTTCTTCTGGTTTGTGTGTTGTTAGTGACTACATCTTTTGCAGAGTTGGGCCTCTGGTAGAGGGGCAAAAAGGGGAGACAATTTGTTGGTGCTTGTCACTGAGGGAATCTGACTCTGTCGTAGGTTTGGAGCAGAGGGAGAGGTTTAGGAGCCCTTAGTATGCCAGCACTGCCTGTAGGTTTTATAACCTGTAGCAGGCTTGGGGGTTGAATTAGTTTCAAGTCAAGCAAACAGAAATCTGTTGCAAGCTCTGAAAGAAGGATCTTCACTGCAATATTCACCAGCACAGTTGCCAGTGAATATTACAGGGAGAGAACTGACAGGCAGTTCACTATAAATCTTGGTGTGGCCTCACCATAAGGCCGTTTTAAAAATACCATGAATGTTAGTATGTTTTACTTAGTGCTCTTGGAAATGTCTTTGTAGCAAGTTTAATTTCATTCTCTTTCAACATGCTTCTTATGTTTCCCCCACACAACTATTTGAGGTAGCAACATCTTCTCTGTGGTCCACTTACTACTCTTGCAAGAAAGCAAGTTTGTGCTTGCTTTTGGGCTGCCATGTTTGCTTGGGAGCCATTTTCTGTAAATGGCAACAGGCACTGGGGTATTAACCCAGTACTGGAACTCTTAGGTGCTACTATACTACTCCTACTACTAGAAAATGTGGAGTTAATCAAGTAGTAATTGAAAAGGTGTTGGAACTGGGGGGAGAGGAGGCCTCCATTAGAAGTTCCTGAGTTCTTCAGGCATCTTAGTTAAAATAGCCAAATCACCCAAAGTATAATTTTAACATAGCTCATAAGTATTGTACATATTGTGCCCTTAAAAAAGTGAGAGACCTAAGAGTACCGTTCTGCAGAGACTCCAAAGTCTCCTGGGCAGGACAGTGTATGAGGTAAAGTTAAAAGAAGAAGCTTTCCAAAATTGGAAAGATTAAGTACAAGAAGTGAGATGAGAAGCGATTACAACCTTCGTACTGCTGTGACAACTGGTGTGTAGAAATCACCTTGCTTTGGTTGTTCAGTTATGCAGCATTTTGTGAAAGACCAAGCAACTTGTATCAGGTATTCTTTTTTTTTTTTCTTTTCTTTTTTTTCCCCTTTTTCAAAGGGAAAAAGAATAAAAATCTTTGTATCTCAGAACTATAAAATTCTGCATAGCTTCTCAGAGGACATGCATGCCCTGAACATAGGCTTTTGCTGTAAGCTAGTTTATTGTGGTTCGAAACATTTACACCTTAGGAAAAAGGAAATGTAGTAGAGTTGTTGTGGGTTCCTGTGCCAAAAATGTGGTGCCTGAAAGAAAATTGTGTTCTTCTGTTCGTAACCATTTTAATCTTTCTGCAGACCTACAACAGCTGTGCCAGACTGTGCTTAAACCAGGAAACTGTATGTCTAGGAAGCACTGCTATGAAGACTGAAAATTGTGTGGCCAAAGTAAGTAAGAGACTAGCTTTGGTTTTGAGGGTTTTTTTCAGATTGTTCACTGTTAATGAAAGGAAAGTTCTTGTTAAAAATCAGAGTTGAAAAAACATATTTAAACAGAAAGCTGGTATTTTGGGTACGCTTTTCTGTCCTGTGTAGAGATTTCAGACTTGCTGATTTTCTCTATTGGAAATGATTACTTGAGTCTTGAGCTACCTAGGATTGAAGGGTTCATTCTGCTATACAAGTAATAGGCTTTTCCAGGGGGATGGCCTATGCCTGCCATGTAATTAGCTGTGGCATCTTCAAATAATAAATGTCCAGATAGATGCTAAAAATACTGCATGAGAGCTCTTCATATCATGAAGATTTCTTAGCTACTGGAGGAGAGGTGCAAAAAGAAAGACCTTTCAATTAAAATACCGTGAATGCTGTGTTTAAGGGAAAGGGAGGAGGGAGATATAGCAATCGGAATGGTAAGAAAAGTATACATTAGCCCATGAGAGAAAAGTCATTCCTTGAGAATTGTAGTAGATGTAGTTGGAAAAGATGAGGTGCCATTAGCAACCCTCTTTTCTTAAAAGTCAGCGTAAGTAGAGTAAAACAACATACATGCAGGGCTGTTTGTGAATGGAAAACATTTGAAGTGTGATGCAATATGTATAGAAAGGCTGTGTGAAGGATGTGTTTATCCTTGTGTAAGCTTCGTATTTTCACTGAAAGGAAGTTCAGAATGGGCATGCAGGACAGATCAGTGCACGCAGCCATCTGTTACCTAAACCAGCTGGCATTTTGTTGCTCCTCTGTCACCACAAACCTGACCACTCAAAAGCCTGTTTTCTCTTTCAGTTATTTATTCCTTGATCTTCTTGAAGTCCTTTTTTTCATACTTTGAATGGTTGTTAAAGGTGCTTTGTCCCTTCAGGGGCCACTTTTGTATTGACCTTTAAGATAATTTCCCAGCTAAATCTTTGCTGGGATTTTGCTGGTAAAATTTGGATGTCCCATTACTTTGATTCCTGTCAGGGAATTGGCTATCATAAAAGTTTGTCATGGTGCTTGCAAGTGGTTTAGCGCTCATAAACTGTGCTTGACATGCCAGGTTACCTTCCACTGGAGAAGCACTTTTGAGAGAAGCTACGGATCTTGGTACAGAGGGCTAATATTTAATACCAACACCTCCATTCTTAAGTTGACTGCTATTGCACACTGCTTTCTAAGGTGCTTTATGGTACAAAGTAGGTGAAATTCTTTAAACAAGGCATCAGAGCAGCTCTGACTGAATTATATTGTCATACAGCATCATTCTGATGCCATGAAGCAGCTCACAGCAAGCTAACTATAGTAAACCCATTCGACTCCATCTGCTTTATAGCATCTTGATTGACCTGATCATCTTATAAAGGAACTAAAATGTGCAAGAGCTACACTTAATGTAAGTGATGCCTCTTCTAAATGAATTGACATATCTTTAATATCCTAATGCCCTAAATAATAAACTCTCTTAAAATAATGCTTTTGATGGGATCATGGTAAAAGGTATGGGTAGGACTCAAGGCAGGAACAGCAAGATTTGCTTCATGTTACTAAGGATGAATCTGAACCATCAACCTGGAGATTAAAAAGTATATATTTTCAAGTATTGTATCTGTATGCTGTAGAACAATATGTATCTATATATATACTGTAGGACAATCTGCCATCATGTATATATATGAAAAAACATATATACACACATGTATGCATGCATATATGCACACACACGTACATATGTATGTATGAAAAAGCATATGGACTTTTCTGGGGATATAATTCCTCTGGTACTAGCACGCCTCGATATTGTACTCTTTTCCTTTGCATTCCCAGCTACAAACCAAAATGAAAGGTTCTAAGAAAGCTTGTCTTTCGAATTCCAAAGTGTTGAAGCATTTATAAATCCAGTTAGCTAAATGCAGATGGCTCAGTAATGGCACAGGCAAATGGCACAACTGTTAAATGTTCCCTAGGTGAAGGGCTTAAATGGGATTTAAGGAGTTCAGAGGCCTTCTCTTAGCCTTATGCACATGGTGAGTTTTATCCTCCATGATTGATGTGTCTTACAGCCTTGGACTTTAACATGTTTTGTCAAGAGAGTGAACACTGGGAAGGATAACTGAGGGCTTCTTTATCTGCAGCACTTTTCCAAAAGTGTTGTAGGGTTTTAATTTTATTTTATTTTTTTTTTATATTTTTAACTGGCAGTAAAAGACAAAAAAGGTTTACTTTGGAACTGATGATACACCTTACATGATCCCGCAGTGCGGCATCAGCCCTGACTGGGAGCCGCAGTCAGCATTATCACATGTGTGACAGATATGTCAGTCAGTCTGCAGGAGACAATGGTTTTCCTGAAAACAGAATTTCTAATTCTGCACCTACTTGCAAAAAAGAAAACTGTACTCTGTTATGGCTGTGTTAATGTCATTTACTGATTGTGTGCTTCATGTCTCTAAAGTTTGTTCAAAGAATGAAATGCAGTTTCCCTTGAGGCCACGCACATCAATATTGAGATATCTTTTTTTCAGGCTGAAGCACTGTCCATCCATCAAGCTCTCTTATGAACGAGTGTTTCTGTACAGGACACCCAGATGTAAATTACCAGCCTAACAACTGGCATTCTTTCTAAAATGGAGGGAAAAGAAGTTTACAATAAGCAGATATGCATTTTCAAGTACAGAAAGTTACTGTCTTTTTGATCACTCAAGGAAGTCTGTGTTTGTTAGAAAACTTTGCCTGTTTTTTTTGTATGATACCATCTATATGATTATAGATACCATTCTCTACGATACCGTTTCTGTATGATATATCTATATGATTGCCTGTGCCGGCAGGTGTACAGTGCCTTTGCAAACTTGTGCATTATCTAGTTTTATTAAAACATTTAAAAACAAAACTAGAATATCGTGTTCTGATAAATCTTTTTATATTGTCCCTAGCCCTGCTTTTCTGGTATTTGTCCTCTGAAACTCCATCAATGGCACCTGTGCATATTTGGATAGAAGCAAATAAGGAACAGTAGGAATAGTTTAAAGTATGCACATTTCAACTGAAGAAGTGGGATCTTAAATTAAAAATTATATATTATAATGCACAGATGTCACCTGTGTGATCTGTAACATCAATTTCTCTTCCATCCTCAGGAGTTTTTCTGTTAATCTTTTGGCCTCTTTTTTGCCAACTGCTGCTGTTTGTCTCTTACAGAAACCAAAAAATGTCTCCAAGAGATTGATTTCTTTTTGTGCTACTACTGGTGTGCAACCACCAGTGGACAGCTTTCTCAGGAATTGGTGTTAGGTGCTTAAATAAGGTAGAAATGCAGCATGAACCTGAGCTCCAAGGACAGGGTGTTTGATTTTAATGAGGCTTATTGAAATCTGGCCAAATGAGCATCTGTTCCTATTGTTTGTTCCATATTTTGTAAGCCAGTATCTTCAGGCCAGATAATGGTATTGGTGTGTGCTTCATCCTCAATTAGAGAGGGGCACAGTTAAAAATCCCCTGGCATCTGGTATGTCACTAGGATTCTTGTGATGCTCCTGTGTGCAAACAAGTTTCTCTTCTGTTCTGCACCCAGGACTACTTGCTTTCTGTGGTGACCTTCACACTTTCTATTTGCTGTGTGGTGAGGGATGCTGTGGTGTGTCTCCAGTCTCCTTAGCTGTGTCTTTGCTTGGATGGATTATATGTGTTACTGTTTTCAAACAGAGGTCTTGCCTTTTCACACTTTGATAATGTGGGCTGCATTATGTTAGAGTTTTGCTGTTTGCTCGGAGTCTGTTAAATTTTGCATTTTCCAGGATCATGGAAATACCCTTTCAATTCAAAGTGCTCTTTTGTTTCCCAGCGAGAGACTGGTGTACAGCTGATCTCACAGAGTTCTAAAGTCAATACCCATTTCCTGCATTCATTAGGTAGGTCTTTACTGTTTATTAGCTCCTGCAGTCAGTTCCAGTTCATCTGTATCTGCTATATAAAGAAATGTTCTCAGTTTCATTTTACACATTGAATTCTTTCCTACCTGTGCCAGAGATAGGCACCCTATGGCATACTTGCCAGAGACAGCACAGAAACACCTTCTAAATGGCATGCAGCATTCCCACGTTTCTAAGTTCTGAACTCGGCAGCAGCTGGGAGGGGTTCTCTGCCTCTTTCTTCCTCCAGTTTCATTTAGGTAAAGATAAATAGAGTCACACACACCATCCTTGAAAAATTAGATTTCTGTTTCAGGCCACCCCTTGCACATGTGATAACTGGTCCTGCTTCTTAAGGTCTTGGCAAACCAAGGGTTTTTAAAGCAGAGTCTTTAAGGCATGTTGTACCTTCTAGGGAATCTTTGAGTGTTGTTCATCAGAGTTTTAAATGTACATGCTGCAGTGGTTACAGTATTGAAGTAGGAATCTAGAACCATTTTCTACCCTTTGATTTTAGCACTGTGATTTTATTCTCTGTGGCCTTGGTGGCTTTTCTTGCTACCCTTCAAAAAGGGAACTGAGTAATACTCTCCATGCAGAAATGTTGTGAAATTTAACTAGGTGATGCTTTTTTGACCTTTGGATGGGAAGTCCTGCTTAAGCATGTAGTGATGTCCTGCCTGCTCAGCAAGCTGGTGCAGCATACAGGAGGACAGGGCTGTGTTCTGCTTAATTCTGGAAACACAGAACAGGACTTGGTTCTTCAAGAATGCCATGAGAAAGTTTCTTTCAAGGATGCATAGAATTATTTAGCTGTAGCTACGCATTTTACATTCAAGGATGATTCAGCTCAAGCAAGGAGCGGTGGAACTAGCAGGTAATTGAAATCGACCTTCCTTTGTCAGTTCTTTCTGCATTGCTACTTTCTAATTTTTAGACTAAAAAGTAGTGTGTACAATAATAACATTGAGCTCAGAATCCTTCAGTGAATTAAAAGGACAAACCATGAGTACTCTTTAATAAACAAACATTTAGGGTTCCAGGCCGCATGTTCCAGTTGGC